ACTCCACCACCTTTATTAGGCCGGTCGGTACGATACACATTATAACCATTTAAGGATATGTCAGAGGCCAAAATAGTTTTATTTAGCCATGTTTCTGATAACACAATGACGTCAGCGTCAGTCGAGCTTGCCCAAATGCGGACAAAATCTAGTTTACCTAGTAGACTGCGCACATTCAAGTGGATGAAACCCAACCCAGACCTAGCTTTAAAATCAGCAGGAGTAGCGATCTGACTACTACTACTGGGCGGACCAGGGTTAGGTTGAACATTTCCTGACAGTAATAACAACAAAAAAAACAGGCATCTTTTCCTCTTAATCGACACACACACATTGTCATCTACTTTAGAATCACCGGAAAAGTCTGCGAGAGTGTGATTTGAGCTTAAGAAGCAGTCCTGAAGTACCATCATCGCAGGCAAACAAAAAAGACAAACATATTTTGTCGAGCAGATTGTCTGCGACAAGGTGACCGGTAACTGTTTGTGTAACACATCCGACCCTTTGCAGGGGATGCCTACTGCGGGTAGCAGAACAGACCTGAATCCAGTAGGCTTCTCAGGATGACTAGAGATATTCTCATAGTCCAGAACAGTTAACAGGCACAGCAGAATCACGATATGGGCCATCCTCCCAGACCAGCACACAATATCCGCGATGTTCCCGGGGCAAAAATCCTCCTCCTCACAGCAGCAAAGGACAGGCGAAAGCAGCAGCGAGGAAGCGCAACGGTCTCTCCGTGGAATCCCTGGGGTAAAAGGTCTCCTCAGCAAGCAGCACACGACACTGGAACACACGACAGGTGGGAGCAGGCCTCCGCAACAGCAGAACCAGGACAGGGAATAACCGAACGGCAGCCTGTTGTACTCGTAGGCTGTTCCCTGGAAGGCAAAACGCAGATACTTTCTGTGCTCTGGAACAATTTCCACATGAAAGTACGCGTCTTTCAGGTCGATGGTGGTGAACCAATCGCCTGGCTGCACAAGCCCTAGTAACTGTTTCACAGTTAACATGCGGAATTTCCTGCTGGAAATATGACGATTCAGGCATCGGAGATCTAGAATAGGTCTGAATTCCCCTGTTTTCTTGAGAACCAGGAAATACATGGAATAAAGACCCTTCTCTCTGTGCTGAGGCTGCACAACAGACACAGCCTGTTTCTGCACCAGAGCCTGAATCTCTGCTGAGAGGAAACCCATCTCCTCCTGGGAAGACAGATTTACCTCTCGCATGCCCATAAAAGGAGGTGGGATGCTGCAAAACTGGAGTGAATAGCCCCGTTTCAGCGTCCTGTCCATCCACCTTGTCAGTACACAGCTGAGTTTCCATTCCCCATAACATTGTGTTAATGGGCAAGCCCTCAGCTGTGGGGCCGCAGCTATAAAGCTGTGATACTCTCTGATGACCCGCTCCGCCGCAAAACTCCCCGTAAAGGGGAGATTCGCACGTGAGGGGTCGAAGCAGAAAGGGCCGATCTTCTACATTGTGTTAATGGGCAAGCCCTCAGCTGTGGGGCCGCAGCTATGAAGTTGTGATACTCTCTGGTGGCCCACTCCGCCGTCAAACCCTCCATAAAAGGAAGTTTGACCCATGGGGGGCTGACACAGAAAGGGCAGTTTTTTTCTATAATACAGTTTCCACTCAGAGAAAAAAACGGCAGATTTTCCACTGAGGTACCTGAACGCACCACGGCACGCTCCCGTGAGAGCGCGCGCTCTGCCATAATGCTGCTTCCTCTTAGAGAGAAAGAGGCATTAATCGGAGTTTCTTCTGTCCATGAATGCACCGCGGCCCGCTCTCGAGGGGGGGGGGGGGGGGGGGGCGCGCGTCGTCCTAATGCTATTTTCCTCACTATGGAAAACGGCATTAACCGGAGTTCTTACAGGCGTAGTGTGTTTTACTAAGGCCCCTGAACGCACCGCCACGCGCCTCTTTCAAGTGCGGGCGTTGCTATAATGCAGCCCCTATCACTATAGTGAACAGCATTATTTGGAGTCTTAGCTTCAGGCATAGAATGTTTTCTAACAGAAAAACATCGGCCATAATGTCCCTGTACCCGCACCGCACTATAACAGTGCTGCCTGCGGTTTATCACTCTCATCTGCGCACTCCCACTAGCCTCCTCCCTAACGGGAGCTATTAGCTGGGGCAGCGAGTGGGGAATTTGTACAGTCATCAACATGTGCAAGTGTATTGTGGAAACAAAGGACACTCAGACTTGGATACAGATCAACACCATCTTTATTTTAAAAGTTTTGACAGAGATCTGGGCATTAAATAGACAGATAACTCCGCGAAGATGGAGTTCCCCACCCGGGTGCTCTGCTGTTGCGGAGCCTGCCTCGGTTGGGCAGCCCCTCCCCGTGATTGCCGGTATGCCGGTGCGACGGGGTGGGCCGTAGAGGTGGAGGGCGCTGCAGCTACGGGACCCCCGTGCCGGCGCCTCTCCCTCCGCTTCACTGTCGTACTACGCTCCCTCCTCTGCATGGCATGCGAGGGGGGCACGTAGCGGGGCCTGAGGAGGAGCCAGCGATAGCATGCGGCTAAGCTGGACTCTCTCCTCCTCTAGGCGGCTGACTGGGTGACCGAGGAGACCGACCCAAAGAGCCCCTCCGTGGACACGGGGGCTCCGAGGAGATCTTCTCGGTCCTTTTTAGATAGGGCCGTGAGCCCTGGCCACACGTGACGAGACGCCACTGTGGCCAGGGAAATCATCCGTCCTGCTGCGGTGGCCACGCCGTAAATCAGATTACTCATCTGACTAACAGCGTGGTCCGAATAATCGCTCTCGTCCTGAGACGGGAGGGCGGGGGCGTCTGCCTGAGGGTGATCAGGAAGACGCCAACATGCCAAGATTATCGGGGCCTTCGTTTTAAATGGCTGCTGCCATGTCGCCTCCACACACCGCCATACCTCTGGCAGCTGGGGCGAAACGAAGGTCGGCTGCGCCGGATGCACCGGGCCATAAACCCCCGATCTCAGGCGGTTTACAGGCCTCGGTGGCAGCGGTGGGGGGAGCGGTAAACCTACATGCTCCGCCGCCAGAGTCATCACCGCTGGGAAATCCATCCGCGCAGAGCTGAGAGTTGGACCTCCGGATAGCGAGGCGTCCTCGTCGTCGATCATCGGAACCGGGGCCGTCTGGCCCCACGGCAGGGAGAACCGGAACGATGTCCCCTCGCTTCCCGAATCGCCTATGTCCACAACGTCGAGATCCAGCTCCTCCGACTCCTCCTGCGGGGCAATCTTCTCCAGGATGTGCTGCCCACGATGCTCCCTCGTGCACCGCGGGATCGCCTGGCAGGCCGAGCACGCCGGCGTCGAGCCCATACCGTTCATCGCGTGGTCGGGCCCCAAACACGTGAAGCAGAGGGGGTGCGGATCGACTCCTGAAATCAGGTTCGGACAATTCGGGCAGGTCCTATGGTCCAGCCATACTCTCTCTCTATTACTTTCACTTCAATACGTCTTACGTCTTCTGTGGAATCACTTCCGCTTAGCTGAAGAGAAAAAGGATGGCAGTCAGGAGGCGAGGCCTCCTTTTATATGGTGTGATACGGCGCGCATTCAGGTAGGCCCGCCCTGGGCCGGCTACGTCTATAGAAGTCTCAGTGGGAGAATGCACGCGGGATAAGGTAGTACCCATAGAGTCCAGTAGAGGGCGGAGCCTGTGAGAGATATAACAAAAAGTGTATCTCGAGCCGGTTTCTCAAACTTACCTACCCTACCTTTAACAACAAGATCTGAGTAGGCCTACTTCTCCTACCTCTGCGCACCTGATGTGATAACGTTACTGAGTTAAGGAAGTCGAACATTTTGCATTTCTCCGACTGAATATGACGCCTTTTGGCCAGCTGTTTGGACAGATTGCTTGTGTCAACGCGCTTACGCGAAAACACTAATGGCAAACGAGCTTTGTCCACATCGAGCCTTGTAGAGTGTCACTATACTTTTGAACGCTCCGTCCCCGGCAGATCTCTGGGTGCCGCTGCAGCGTGTATGTTAGGCCCCGCCCCCCGCACACAGAGAGACACATGCAGATCGCTCTTCTGGAGTGAAGAGAGCGGAAATAATGATAATGCAAGTTAGAAACGTAAGATGCATTTTCACAGACAAGACGGACAATTGGGGGAAAATAGGCTGCATTTTGAATGTCCGATAGTCCACCATTAACACCATATTCCCGTCTCGTCAACGAAAACAAAATATACATTTTGTCATAGTTTTTATTATCAAGAATCTATTTTTAGCTCGTCATCGTCTCGTCTTAGTCATGTAAAAAAGGTAGTTGACGAACATTTTTCATCATAGTCTTCGTTGACGAAATGAACACTGTGCTGTCCATCCACTCATTGTTCTTCCTACACCTAGTGCAAGGTGAACCCACTGAGAGAAATCTAGAGAAAGGTAGAGGAACACACTGTGAATAAGCACTGGTTAGAAAAAGAGCCTCCTGCTGTTCGTCCAAGCGTGTAGTGTTCGGATATTGTTTTAGGAAAGCAAGTCAAAGGCAGGTAATGAAGACAGGGAGCTGGCTGGTTGCAGAAAAAGTCCCAGAGAGACGTCCCAGGCAAAAACACAAAAAGTTGCACAAAAAACAGCAATCTGGAAACACAAGGCTTGGGCTGCAGAGAGGCACTTTGGATTGTCCAACAACATTTAATTATCTGGCAGAGTAGTGGAGTGAGGGCCAGGCTCTTATAGAGAAGGTTGATAATGGGAACAGGTGTGCCTCGTCTGCAGCCAGGAGAACACCAGCCCTGCAGAGAAAGAGAAACAGAGTAGGGGGGGGGTAAAGAGAGCCAATACAACAGAAAAAATACAACCAAAAAACCATGCAGAAACATAACAAAGCTAACTTTATGGTTTTATTGAGACAAACAAGATGGTTATAATGATTGATTGAAATCCTCATTAGGTTTCCAAATGATTCATTTTTATTCTCTTTGTTTTCTCCTTTGTCTCTGTCCACCTCAAACGCACCCCCCTGCGCTCTTTAGGATGTTGACCTATTCGTACCTGCTGTCTTTCAATGCCTGGCTGCTGCTGGCCCCCGTCGTGCTGTGTTATGATTGGCAGGTGGGCAGCATCCCCCTGGTGGAGTCGCTGGGGGACATCCGCAATGTGTCCACGGTGCTGTTGGCCGTGGTGATGGTCGCCCTCTGCCTCAGCTGCTTGTTCTCACTGCAGGTCAGTTCTATCTGCACTCTGCTGCCTCCTGATGATTGTCTGTCCTTGTAACATGCTACTACCTCCTTTAAAGAGTGGGAAGAGTTGTACGAGCTGGAAAGAGTCGAGAGTTAACAAGGTTCGAAAAGAAAACCCTATGTTATCACTGCAGATTAGGGACTCGATACGTTGCCAACGATACGATACATTAACGATACATTTGAAGCACCAGGCGATGTGATACGATAAGATTCACCCCTGTTGCGATACAGTCCGATACGATTTGATTCAACATTATGCGATTCGGGGCGATACGATGCGATTCAACACGATGCAAAATAATGATACAATTCAATATGGTACGACAGGATTTTGTTTTATTCCTTATATGCAGCAAATCATACATTAACAAAAAAGTGCTTCACATATTTGGTTCCCTCTACTAGTACTGCACATCCCATCATGCTGTTTCTTTTTTACCTTAAAAAAACAAACACTTGGGCCTTTCACAAACTGGCCTTTTCACAAGTGTAGTAGTGTTCTCTGTCTCCAGAGTACAGTACCATGTTATAACACCTCACAGTTAAACAATTTAAGGATGCATTGCCCAGGATTAACAATGTGCAAATAACAACTACCATAGTGCAATGCACATACAACTGCTGACTGATGTGCTTAGCACTCATTGATAGGCTAACTCACCAGTGAGCAGAAAGCAGTGGTTTCTATATGAACAATAAAGAATACAAATAACTTTCACAAACAGGTATTTCATAACTGCTTACAATTGTAAGGAAGACATTTAAACTATTATTGGCAGTCACAGGCTGCTGTAAACTAAACACTACTCTCTCTGACAGAACACCTCACTGAGTGATTGAACTCATATGTCTTACTTTCAGGTTTTTATTTTCAGACGCAGACCCCACGTCGTACTAGCCTACTTGTGTACTTTAAAGCGGCACGGCATCGTTTACTATTTGGGATTTTTCAAGTTGTCCGTCTTTCTTGAAAAATCCGAAGTGTTGCCAAACGTTTGATTTGTAGGTATTTTTCGGTGCGCTGTGTTTCTCTTTCTCCTCGACTTCCATGTGTGTTGATAACTGAGACTCTCGGCCTCCGTAGTGGCGAAGCAAAGATCAAAGATCGTCTCTGCTGAGTGCTGACAGGATGAGAGGATATATGAATGAATCGTTTTGTTACCGATGCAAAGACGCTACAATCGATGCATCGCGAGTTCAACCCAAACTGTAGCCGATGTGCACTCTTTCACCGGTGCACTCACATTTTGAACGTTTATGCCGGTGCACCGATGCGAATCGTTGAATCTTAACATCCCTACTGCATACAAAGGCAGAAAAAAGCTTCTGATATGTAGCATTTTCCATTAAATCTCAAGAATGGTATTTGCACTGAATTAATCGATTTTATATAGGAGACAGAATAGAATATGCTTGAATGAGTTTTAAATTCAAATATTCAAAGAACCTTAAAACATTAAAAAACACTTAGGACAATAAATATATGATAATATATGGCAAACTACGGTGCATTCCATTGTATAATGGAGGTCCGTGCAGACATGTGTGCAGAAATGTGCACAATATAGTCAGAGAGCTGAGCATGAACATGGCTCAAAGTATAATGAAAGAACAAGATGTTGTTCACATGATGTGCATTAATGTAATGCATCATGTTTGTGGGGTGGATAATAGTCCATGTCAGTGGGGGTCCCGTGCCTTGTTGATGAGGCCGTAGCGGAGGGGAAGAAACTGTTCAGGTGGCGAGAGGTTTTGGTCCTGATGGAGCGCAGCCTCCTGCCAGAGGGGAGGGGGGTGAACAGTTTGTGTCCAGGGTGGGAGGGGTCGGCCACTATCTTCCCTGCCCGCCTCAGGGTCCTGGAGGCGTGCAGCCTGCCCTTATGCTTGGCTGTGGCTGCAGCGTACCAGATGGTGATGGAGGAGGTGAGGATGGACTCGATGATGGAGGTGTAGAAGTTCACCATCATGGTCTTTGGCAGGTTGAATTTCTTCAGCTGCTTCAGGAAGAACATCCTCTGCTGGGCTTTTTTGATGAGGGAGCCGATGTTCTGCTCCCATTTGAGGTCCTGGGCGATGATGGTGCCCAGGAAGCGGAAAGACTCCACAGCAGTGACTGGGGAGTCACACAGAGTAATGGGGGTGGGCACTAGCATCACGATACATTTTTGATGACATTTGGCCGAGGGGTTATTATTTTGCAGTGCTGCAGCCACACTAAATGCATCCAGGTGTTGCTGGGACTTTGTCCTCAGGCGGTTTATAGATCTCTATTCAGAATACTTTGTTTTTCCTGCTCTGCAAAAGTCACCACTCTTTCATACTGTGTGTGTGAGCTTGGACCTTGAGATCATATTCTTTTCATCCATATAGTTTTCTCCACTATATGGATGAAGGACAGAGGTGTGAGGTTACACAACTTTCATTTGGAACATGCGTGAAAAAATGCTGTTGACTTTTAAAATGCTAAGTTTGTGCAATTCCCAAATCTCTGGTTTAGGACCATAATACCTGTGTATTAAGCACAATTAAAATGTGCAACACAGCAGCCGGTTACACTCTGCAGAGTGAGGTGGCTGTAATGACACTGGTGTTGAGGCACTCTGTACTATCCACACACTTTTCTGGAGAGAAATAATCTTTGTAATAATTGTCAAACTCAAGTTCAAACACATTGACCGAACAAAGATTCTGAAAGTAAAATATACATTTCTCGCTAGACATTTAATCAGAAGCAAGACTATCCTAACGTATGGAATTGTACACTCTGAATAAGAGGAGAGCTGCCATGTTGTTTGTTTACAGTGAGAGGAACTTGAACATCATGTGTCATGTACGCTGGCCTTTTGAAATGAATGGAGGGAAGAAACGTAGCCACTTCACAAGATGTGTACCCCTACCCCCTGCCTCCGACGTAAGCGTGACGTATGCGGTGCTTGCTTTCTAGACCGACAACTTTTTGGTGCTTGAAACGAACCGGATTCCGGAGCTTAGAGGCGGCTCCGCTGCGGTGTGAACAGGAAAAACCAGTGCTTTTCAAGCTCCAGCTCCGAACCGGCCCTGGAACCGCGTTGGTGTGAAAGGGGTACGAGTGGTGCGACTTCACACATCTCCAGCTCTTAATACTGATAACACAGCCATGGAGGAAGATGGGCAGAGGCTATGCGCTTCATCAAATATAAATTGCGTCAGATATGGGCTTCACAGAAAAACGTTAACTGTAATTAGATAATTCAATCGACAGTAGTCACAGCTGAAGAACATGCATACATGTGCTGACAGCGGTTACACAGAGAATTGACTGAGTTTATTGAAACAATGTGTGTTTGTCTGTGCAGGGCCAGGGGAGCAGGGAGATGTTGGTTGGAATGTTATTCCTGATGTTTCCCTTCATTCCTGCCAGTAACCTTTTCTTCAGGGTTGGATTTGTCGTGGCAGAGAGGGTCCTCTACATGCCAAGGTGAGTCTGTATGTGTTCATGTACCTGCCTTCATATATTTGTGGTGTCCGCTTTCTACTCCCCTTCTTCTATGAGGAGTAAGTCTTTCTCATTTCTTCCAAACATGTTTCTTTGTTTATCTATCAAAGTTTTTTTAAATATACATATCCAACCTTCTGTAGGCCCTGATCAAGCTAGATTAACACAGTTGAAAAGCAGAGCTTAGGGAAAGATGATATTAATGATTTATAAGATGTTCTGCAGTGACATCTGACCTCAGGTTGTTGTGTGTGTTCTGTATTTGTCTGTGGACAGACAGCGGCAACTCTTCTTTTCTTTACTCTCAATTCAAGGGCCTCTCCATTTTTCTTTGAGAGTTTGTTTTCTTGCTCTCTGTTCCGTTCCTAATCAGTCTGTCCTTCTGTATTTGACATCTTCTGTTTTAATTTCTCTGTTAATAACTCTACCCAACTCTACTCAAGTCCTGTTTCCCTTAAAACATTTCTTGATCTTGGAATCCATAGACGCTTCATCCTTAAGGTTTTTTGCTGCATGAAATGTGTATAAGATCCTTAGGGGTTGTGGGTGACTTGTATTAGGTTTACAGGGGCCCATGGTGTCCACACATACACATTCACAGTGAATCCTCTCTCCGAGCAGGGGCTTTAGCTGGATGCTCATGCCTTCAGGGGAAAGGACTCATGATCACACTCAGCGCTCAGTCAACTGACTGCATGGCTAATGCGGCGTATCTGTCAGCAGATGTTTCTGTGTAATGCATTTCAACTACTTTTAGCTGGGCCGCACAGCAGAATCAAACGGCAGACTGCAGTACTTTCAGACACAGAACTGTGTAGCCACTATGTATTTAGTGACTCTGCATTTTCTGTGCTGTGACGTCATTTTCTCTCTCAGTTTTTTTACTAATCACCTTTTCTTTAAATCTGCTGCCGTGTTAGCCAGAAGTTGGTTAAACAAAGCATAATTTTCTGTCAGAGCACTCACTCAATCATTTATTTTTCATAAATTCACCGAAATAGCTCAAGTTATAGTGAGAAATGTTAATCGATGAGTAAGGAAACCTCAAAATGAGGTCAAAGACTTTGTTTCTAAACCTTATCTCAAAGTTCAAGTTTAGTTTCTTAATTGGACTGAAACTATGAGCAAGGCAGAGTAAGACTCGGCCCAGATATCCGTCGGCTACATTGAAAACAATTGAAAACCGATAGCCAAGTGGTCTGAGATTGATCACACAAAGAGCATCAGAAACCCTCACTGAGGTGGGACACAGTGAAGAACAGCGGAGTGAGGACAGAGTCTCTGGTTAAGGACGGATGCTGCCTGAGACTGAGGGTGTGGAAGAGGATGAAGAAGAGCGAGAAAGGCCTCGAGGGCAGAAGTAGCTGCTTACTCTCTCAAGGGGTGTGTTTTCTGCATTTCGTGGTTATTTTCTACCTTTTGCAATTGTTTACACCAAAGTGCCTTTATATTAGGATTGCTAAATGGAAATACAGCAGCTCTGACTTAAATAAGACACACACAGTGTCATGCCCTTATGAGATGATATTTGCTCTTGTTGATAAACACTTTAAATGCAAAACAAGCATTTAAATAATAATAGCACAGATTTAACTAATTCACTGACATTTTGTTTCTGCTATCATTCCACATATTACCATACTGAAGGAAATATTGGTGGTTCCTTAGTTTCTCAATAGAAACCTTTATTTTGGCCATCAAACCCTCGTAGTTTTTGAAATATTGTCACAAATTAAATACCCAATATTATTTGGTGGGAAATCTGCTAAATCATCTCAATTAAACCTTCAGAACCATTCGTTTCACAATTTGTTTCCCTCCTTTTAGAACTAATTTCCTATGTAATGGTATGGTCTTTTCTTTTTCACATTGTTTGACAGTACAAATCAGCCAACAGGCCTTTTAACAGCCTAAACACCTCTATTAGAATGTAGGACTGCAGTAAGAGATTCTGTCCCGTCTGTCTTCCTACCCCCCCCCCCGCCCTTTTCCAGTATGGGTTACTGTATTCTGGTGGCTCACGGCCTGGGGCGCCTGTGTTCGCTGGTTGGCCGTTTGGGTACCACAGTCCTCAGCGTCTCCTTGCTGCTGCTGCTCCTGCTCTTCTCCTGGAAGACCGTCCAGCAGAACAACGTCTGGCGCTCCAGGGAGGCCCTCTTCCGGTAAGAAGAGCATATGTGGGTGTATTTGTGTGTGTGTGTGTGTGTGTGTGTGCGTCTGACTTTTACCCTTGTTCTGAAATAGGCACACAAAATGATGATGGTGATTTTCTGTGTACATTAAATTCCTAGTGTTAAATTGTACAGTATGTGGTCCCTGTTTTCAAATGCCAACATTTGGCTTACATTTGCACCAGAAATTCAGTACTAATATACTCTGATAGTGATCAGGTAAAAAAACAATAGTGATTTAAATGATACACAAATATTTGGATTCAGTACGACTTGAATTTCCATTGTGTAAAATATGTAAACCATATTTCAGCTCAGAAATCATAGAAAACAGATGTTTCTTATAATTGCAGATCTTGTGTTTTTTTCACTTTGAAAATAAAAAAAATTATAGTTATTTGATTTATTCAATGGGGCCACATTGTAAGACGTTGTAAGACAACCCTTGCACTATTATATTGCAAAAAAGAGCTTACAAAAGGAGTTTATCTTAAACATGCTAATTACAAAATGCTGCTAGAAAGTTTCCGGCTTCTCTCTGTCCTGCTGTTTTTGTTTATGATAATAAAGAGTCAGTGTGTGTGTCTCAGTATCATCTGTACAGGCTGTTTATAGTTTATTTAACTGATGACCCTGACATTATTAAGGAATTACAAGTATGAAAGGATGTTATTTTGGACAGAAATAAAACGAGTGTCCAGTGTAAGAATGTTCCCCCACCCCCTACAGAGACATAACTCCTGTTCCAGTATAGTTTCATTCTTTGTTTTTGTTCTCATTTTTTGCACCTTATTTTCCTATTCTTGTTCCCCGTTTCAGCTCTGGTATCCAGACTCTGCCACACAATGCCAAAGTCCACTACAACTACGCCAACTTCCTGAAAGACAACAGCCGGCACCAGGAGGCCATTCACCACTACACCACTGCCCTCAGGTCTGCCTCTGCAATACAGCTCTATGACTGTGATCATCTTTTAACGATTCGAAGTCACACAGCATGTGCCTAATGTGACTTTGTGCCTATTGCTATTAGAATTGTTTCATTATGTTCCTTTTCAAATTCTACACAACAGCTTGTTTAATATCAAAGACTGTGTATTACGTCACAGAGTCATTTTGTTGTCTGGTGGACGCTCATCGATGGCCAGACATCTATCGACGGCAGAAATCGGCCCGGTGTGTCCGGGCCTTTAGGGGCTCCGTACTCACACACAAAGCATACGCACACACAGAAACACGCACACAAAGCGGAGCAAAGCAGAAAAAATACATTTATTTTTCTAGGCACACTGACTGACTTCCCACGGATAGGGATGCTCCGATCGCCAATTTTGGGGCCGATCACCGGAATCAGTATCGGCCGATACCAATCGCCGATCCGATCGAGTGGGCGGGGCCTAAATGGAAGATTTAAACATCGCTTTAAATCTTCCATTTAAAGTGATGTTAAAACTCAGTTAATGGGGCTCATTCTCTGGAGCTTCCACAAACAACAACCAACTTAATTATTACATTCAAATGAAGTACATTATTCAAGTTTACATTCACTTTGGATAATACCACGGGAGAAATGAGCGGAAGCGCTCTCTTTTCCTCTCTCCCTCTCTCTCTCCCTCTCTCTCTCCCCTTCTCTCCCTCTCTCTCTCCTGACAGCCTGTCAGTATCTCATGCAGCTCACTGATCCAGTAATGAGTGACCCGACAGTGAAGAATACATGTATTTATAACTTTTAGCGTTTAGCTTGTTCCAGAGGTAGATAAAATAGCTAAGTGTGTTAAGTCTAACTCTTGTGTGTTTCGCTCCGCTCACCGGTCCGTCACAGCGGGTGGAGCTGCAGGATTTTTGCTTCACACACGTTGCATACCGCTATTTTACTGTCTTTTTCGGACACCTTAAAATAATGCCAGACCGATGAAGCCATTTTGGGCTTTCACGATCGGCATGTTTAGAGAGCACCGATCGATCGGTAGAGAGTGAGTATCGGCAGATCTCGATCGGTGACCGATCGATCGGAGCATCCCTACCCACGGACAATGTTTTAACACTAGGCACTAAATACCCGACTGATGCGCCTCACGTCTTCGAGACGTTAAATAAAAAATTGCAGGAGAACGCACCCTAAGGCACTGAGTTGACTGACCTATCAAAATCTGTGTCCGCCTGCTTCATTTGCATGTGGCTCACTAGTGAACGTGTTGGCCATATGAACTGCAACTAGTTAACTAGTGGATGCATATTGCAGCTTACACGTTAACTAGTGAAGGCAAAAGGTTCACTACTTAACTAGTTGCAGCCTCTTTCGGTCTTACTAGTGAGGCTCAAAATGTGCACTTGTTAACTAGTAAGGTCCAAAGTGTCCACTAGATACACTAGTACAATTGTTTTTACCTTACTAGTTAACTAGTTACTAGGGATGCTCCGATCGCCAATTTTGGGGCCAATCGCCGGAATCAGTATCGGCCGATACCGATCGCCAATCCGATCGAGTGGGCGGGGCCTATGGGGATCTTCCATTTCAAGTGATGTTTAAACTCAGTTAATGGGGATCATTCATTGGCGCTTCCACAAACAACAACCAACATAATTATTACATTCAAATGAAGACATTATTCAACAGGGTGCGTACGGGTGCTGGAAATCCTTGAAAATGCTTGAAATTGTACGAGATGTTTTCAAGGTTTGAAAAGTGCTTGAATTTTGGGAATGGTGCTTGAATTTGGGATAAAGTGCTTGAAATTGTAAATGCTTTACTTCGCTTTTTAGATTAAAAGAAAATAAAGAAGTCAGAGCGTGCTTAATTGCTTCGCTTTTACATAAAACAGCTCCGCTCTGGCCTTCCCGCGCAATGTGCGTGACCGGCAAGTGTTTTTGTTACGTGTGTGACCTGGGCATTCTGATGAGAGTGATAGATGACAGTATGCCAGGAGGTTGCCGTTTCAACGAGCGTTGGCTAGCAGAAGACAAATACAAGCCATGGCTAAGACGAGGGTCAAGCAAAGCCCAAGAGTAGCCTCCTGCAAAGTGTGCAACAATAACGATGCGAGAGTCTGCGCTGACGAGCCACACACCACACGAAAGGTACGCCGTAGTAGAGCATTTTAGATTAGGCTATCGTTGCATGTAAAATACATGACACTTTACTCTGTGCGCGGCAAAACAAGCTCGCCAAAATGGCTTCACTAGTCTGGCAGTATTTTAAGTGTCCGAAAATGACAATAAAATAGCGGTATGCAACGTGTGTGTCCACCCGCTGTGACGGACCGGTGAGCGGAGCAGAACACACACTAAGAGTTAGACCTAACACACTTAGCTATTTTATCTACCTCTGGAACAAGCTAAACTAGTTATAAATATATTTATTCTTCACTGTCGGGTCACTCATTACTGGATCAGTGAGCTGCAGGAGATACTGACGGGCTGTCAGGAGAGAGAGAGGGGGGGAGAGAGGAAAAGAGAGCGATATCGGTATCGGCCGATACTGATTCCGGCGATCGGCCCCAAAATTGGCGATCGGAGCATCCCATATAATTGTATATGATATGTTTTATAATGATTGATCATGAAAGTGTTCTCAAAGCTGGTAAAGTTGCAGCTAGTTTGAATGACTTTGTATACTACAGAGTAGCTTGTGAATTTACTCCAGGTGGAACTAAAGTCTGATTTAACACTTGATTATATTTCACATCATTCATCCACATCTGTAAAGTAAATATATATACAATTTCAGAATCAAACAAGTATCAAACAAATATACCCCCCCCCCTCTGGTCGCTACAATGAGGAAAATAAATTACGGGCCAAATGTTTTATTTACAAGTATTAAAAGTAAGCAGAGGACACCAAACCAACTGAGACCTGTCTGTCCGCCACACACACACACACACACACACACACACACACACACACACACACACACACCACACACACACACACACACACACACACACACACACACACACACACACACACTGTACCACACGCACTTACACACTGTAGGCTACCACACACACCTACAGCTCCTAAAGCATATCATAGCCTATATATCAGGATACAGCCGTTGTGTATTTTATTATGTGAAGCACTAAATGGTTTTAGACAAATCTCGACTCTTTGAAGGCTTCTCAATTCTCTAATTTCCCCTCCTCGACTCCTCGACTCCTCGGTCCTCCGGTAGCAACACAGTCTCACAGCATTTCGTGTTATAGTCACGAAATGTATCTATTGATTCGTGTTCACCAACACGATTTTCGTCGTTTTTTTTTTTTAATACAGATTTCAGTATTCTGAGGCTCTGAGCCATTTATTTTCCTCGCGGACGGCAAAAAAACTCCGACATTATACAATTTAAAATAAAAGGGTTAGGCTTAGGGTAAGATATTGAGTGAGAAAATGTTTTTATGAACCACACAGCTTCTGGTCTTCCAAGACCCGACCGGACAAATAGACGTGGTGCAGGCACGAAACATACTACCAATAGAAATACATTGCTTTTAAAATCGTTCTGTGTGACACGAAATAAATGCAAAAATCGTGTTGGTGAACATGAATCAATAGATTCAATTAATTTCGTGACTATAACACGAAATGCCGTGAAACTGGGTTGCCGGTAGTGACCCGGAAATGGATTTCAGCGCGCCATGTTGAAGGACATCTTATTTCTATATCCAGTCTCTGATAGTGTTACGTTATTATGAGAGTGCTCTCATACTTGTTTGATTCTGAAATTGTATATATTTATATACATATATGTGTGTGTATATGTCCGCATCTGTAGCCTGTTATTGTCTCATTATACCGCACTGTGAATGAATTCAAAGTAAATATATAAGTGGTCATGAACACATCTGTCCATCAGACAGAGGGCTGCTGTGCCTCCTGTCATCATTAATGGACGTCTCTTTAAAATGACCGCTCAGAGGAGAGGAGTTCTCATTTCTCTAACCGCCTGCTGCTTCCACTCCTCTCTCCTCGGTTCCCCTCCTTGACTCCTCTCTCCTCGGTTCCCCTCCTCGACTCCTCCGCTCGCTTCTCCTGTGGGCGGGACTAAGACACGAGGATAGGAGTCGAGGAGGGGAGTCGAGGAGGGGAATTTGATGAAATGAGAAGCCTTCTTTGTTTGTAGACATCTACTAAACTAAAGCATACAAATACAGAGAGTAATGTAGGCCTGTTATACTGAGTGATATTATACACACTGCTCTGCTTTCTGCACGGACCTCACAGCTGTTCTCACTGTAAACATTGCGTCACGATGAAAGCAGTTAATAAAATAATATCCAGGGGATGCATGCAGAGCTGTGATTGGCTGAGATAAGTCCGGCCGTGCGTCACGACTCTTTTAACTGCACTGTTGCGATCCTCCGCGGACGATCCATCAGTGTATCCTCGGTTATAGCTCCTCCAGAGAGCCTCCTCGATGCTCGATCCTCTGTCCTCGATGTGCATTTAGAGAAATGAGATGTCCTTCAACATGGCGCGCTGAAATCCATTTCCGGGTCACTACCGGAGGACCGAGGAGTCGAGGAGTCGAGGAGGGGAAATTAGTGAAATGAGAAAGGGCCCTGGTTTCCCTAATGAAGTCCTCAAGAATCCACTTTCTTTCTTGCTAGATCCGACTTCCTGTTGGTTCTTTCTCACACTTGAATGACATGCTGTCCTTTTTTTTTACAGCACACAGGTGCCAATCATTCCCTTGATTGGTTTCCTCCAGCTTCTCTCAGGGGTGGCTTGATCAGCCATTGCCCTTTTTTTAGGGAATCTGTAGGATTGTGTTTACTTTCCCCTCTCCTGCTACAACTTAACTAAGGGATGTACATCTTTATTGGTTTTAATCTGCAGCATACTGCTTCGTACGTAGCGTCTAACCTGAAGGTATCTGAAAAAGTGTGAATGCGCTAACTTGTAATTTTAGGAGTTTTTAAAGAAACTACGCCGTCATCATTGATATACTGTCCAAAGATAAAGTAAGCCTTTATGCTTCCAGTGATAAACTGTTTTGTTGGCAGAATAAATATTTATGACAGTTTTTTTAATATGCTGTCCCGTCTCTTTCCTTTCTCCAATCTCCTCTTTTGCTGTCTTTGCTTTCCTCCCCTCCTCTTAGGTTATACCCCCGCCATGCCAGCGCCATGAACAATCTGGGCACTCTGACCCGTGACCCAGAGGAGGCTGAGCGCTACTACAGGAAGGCACTGGCCACTAACCCTCAGCATAACCGAGCTCTGTTTAACCTGGGGAACCTCCTCAAGTAAGACATGCTCAGACTCCGGAAACACAAACAGAGCGGCCATTGAAGAAGACGGCTTACTAGCTCACTGCTAAGGTCCTGTTAAAGCAGCAAATTCTAAATTATTGCTCAAAGGAAATTCTAAGTTACTTATTTTCTTTTCACCCAAGAATGATCAATAATAGCAACAACAAAAAATAATCATAAATCATTCAGTTGACTCTTATAATTAATTAGGTTTTAACAAAAAATAAATGTGGTTCACTAGCAAGTGAAATCCAAATATGATTTGGCGAAGTCATAGTGCAAATATATTTTAGACAAAGTGTCAAACACCTAACAACTGACCACATGGTGGTGCTATTGAATACATGCTTTAATATGTGTAGGGAGGACCTGTGTATGAGCAATGATTTCTTAAACATACCTAACACTTGCGGTATTAGATATGTTTTATTTCACTGGAAATGTTTATCCTGGGGATAAAACACCCTTACAAGTATGTTTTAGTTGTGAGTGAGGGTCAGGTCTGGTATTACCCATTACAGTATATATACAGTGGTAAATAAATAAGTATTTGATCCCCTGCAGATTTTGTAAGTGTGCCCACTTACAAATAAATGAATGGTCTATAATTTCAATGGTAGGTTTATTTTAACAGTGAGAGTCAGAATATCAAAAAGAAAATCCAGAAATTGACATTATATAAAAGATAAAAATGTATTTGCATTTAACTGTGGGAAATAAGTATTTGATCCCCTTGCAACAAACAAGGATTCTGGCTCCCACAGACCGGTTACATGAGTCCTCTTCCTTTAAGAAAGTACTCCTAATATCAACTTGTTACCTGTATAAAAGACACCTGTCCACAGAATCAATCAATCAGATTCCACTCTCCACCATGGACAAGACCAAAGAGCTGTCTAAGGACCTCAGGGACCAGACTGTAGACCTGCACCAGGCTGGGACTGGCTACAAGACCATCAGAAAGCAGCTTGGTGAGGAGGAGACAACTGTTGGTGCCATTATTCAGAAATGGAAGAAAGACAAAATGAGCATCAGTCGCCCTCGGTCTGGGGCTCCACACACGATCTGGCCCCGTGGGGTATTGGTGATCATGAGAAAGGTCTGGGATCAGCCAGAACTACACAGGAGGAACTTGTTCATGATCTCAAGGCAGCTGGGACCACAGTCACATAGAAAACTATTGGGAACAAACTACACCATAATGGATCAAATCCTGCAGCCCCTGAAGGCCCCCCCCCCCCCCCCCGGCTCAAGAAGAACATGAGAGGCCCGTCTGAAGTTTGACAATGAACATCTGAATGATTCAGAGGAGGCTTGGTAGAAGAGGATGTGTTCAGATGAGACCAACGTCGAGATCTTTGGCATGAACTGGACACGCCGTGTTTGGAGGAAGAGAGATGCTGACTATAACCCCCAGAACACCATCCCCCCCCCGTCAGGCATGGAGGTGGAAACATTCTGCTTTGGGGGTGTTTCTCTGCTAAGGGGACAGGACGACCTGCATCGAGGAGAGGATGGACGGGGCCATGTACCGTAACATCTTGGCCGATAGCCTCCTACCCTCAGCCAGGACACTGAAAATGGGTCATGGAGGGGTCTTCCAGCAGGACAATGACCCTGAACATACGGCCAAGGCAACACAGGAGTGGCTAAAGAAGAAGCACATGTAGGGGATGGAGGGGCCTAGCCAGTCTCCGGACCTTAATCCCATAGAACATCTGTGGAGGGAGCTGAAGCTTCCAGAGGCCAAGCATCAGCCTGAAAACCTGAAGGATTTGGAGAGGGTCTTCAGAGAGGAGTGGACCAACATCCTTCCTGAGATGTTCACAAACCTGGAGACCAACTACAAGAAGAGTCTGACCTCTGTGTGTCCAACAAGGGTTTCTCCACCAAGTACTAACACATGTTCTGCAAGGGGATCAAATACTTATTTCACAGTTAAATGCAAATACATGTGTATCTTTTATATAATGTCAATTTCTGGATTTTCTTTTTTATATTCTTACTCTGACTGTTTATATAAACCTACCTTTAAATTACAGACTGTTCATTTCTGTGTAAGTGGGTAAACTTATTTCCTCCACTGTATATCTATTATATATATAGTTTACATACTACTACTACATATATATGAAACATACGATGTGTTCCAGGTCACTTGGGAAGGAAGAAGAAGCTGAGGCTCTGCTGAAGGACTCCATACACTTCGGTCCACATTTTGCTGATGCTTACTCCAGTCTGGCTTCACTCTTTGCTGAACAGGTGACACATCACAAAGATATAAGGAGGACACTATAATAATCATAATAATAATAATCAAGCTTTATTTGCTTTAACAATTATGCACGTAATACGAGAGAAACTGAAAATAAGACTTCATAAAAGTCAGAGGTTAAAGATATAAGCACACATGCTACAATAGAAAACAAAGACCAATAAAGATGAAGGGGCATATTGCTCAGTATAGGCTGGGTTTTTTAAAAGTATGTTTTATGTTGTCTTTTAAAAATGCCTGGAGGCACGTTGTAACTCAACACTGCTTCACAACTCCTGAATTACATTAAGATAAGATAAGATAGTACTTTATTGATCCCAATTTGGGAAATGTTTGTGTTGCAGCAGCATAAAAAGACATGGCATTGTGCAATACAAATGAAAAGACATGAAATAAACAAGAAAGTAGAAAATATACATGTTGAATTTACAAATGAACAATAACAAGATATAAAGCAAGGAATTATATTTACATAAGTATGTGACAGATGGAATATTAAATATTAAACTGAATATATAAATGTAAAATGTACAGTGAAGAGAGAAGCTATGGAGCAGAGAGTTCTCTGCAGCCAGAGGTGATTTGGTGTTCAGAGTTATTGTATCGGTCCTTGTGACCGCGGAGCTGCAGCAGGCTGTTGGAGAAGGAGCTCCGCTGTCTGTCCAGCTGCAGGTGGAGAGGATGGGTGGGGTTATCTGTCTGTCCAGCTGCAGGTGGAGAGGGGGGGGTTATCTGTCTGTCCAGCTGCAGGTGGAGAGGGGGGGGGGGTTATCTGTCTGTCCAGCTGCAGGTGGAGAGGATGGGGGGGGGTTATCTGTCTGTCCAGCTGCAGGTGGAGAGGGGGGGGTTATCTGTCTGTCCAGCTGCAGGTGGAGAGGATGGGGGGGGGGTTATCTGTCTGTCCAGCTGCAGGTGGAGAGGGGGGGGGTTATCTGTCTGTCCAGCTGCAGGTGGAGAGGATGGGGGGGGGGTTATCTGTCTGTCCAGCTGCAGGTGGAGAGGGGGGGGTTATCTGTCTGTCCAGCTGCAGGTGGAGAGGATGGGGGGGGGGTTATCTGTCTGTCCAGCTGCAGGTGGAGAGGGGGGGGGGGGGGGGGGGGTTATCTGTCTGTCCAGCTGTAGGTGGAGAGGATGGGTGGGGTTATCTGTCTGTCCAGCTGCAGGTGGAGAGGGGGGGGGTTTATCTGTCTGTCCAGCTGCAGGTGGAGAGGGGGGGGGGGGTTATCCATGATGGACAACAGCCTGTTCAGTGTCCTCCTCTCCACCACAGCTTCAAAAGTGTCCAGCTTGATGCCGATGACTGACCCAGCTTTCCTGATCAGTTTATTGATCCTGCTGGTGTCACCGGCTCTGATGCTTGTCACTCAGTAGCCGTGGCTGGATCGTGTTGAAAGCACTGGAGAAATCAAAAAAGGTGATTCTCACAGTGCAACCCGATCCATCCAGGTATGAGTGAGCACGCTGCAGCAGGTAAATAATGGCATCGTCCACCCCCAGTTGAGGCTGGTAGGCAAATTGCAGAGGGTCTAGAAATGATCTCACCTGCGGTCTGAGATGGGCCAAGACCAGTCTCTCCAGCACCTTCATCACATGAGATGTGAGTGCTACAGGGCGATAGTCATTGAGCCCAGAAGGAGTCGTCTTTTTAGGGACATGAACAACGCAGGACGTCTGCCACAGCAACGGGATGGTCTCCAGGTACAGGCTCAGATTAAACAGGTGTTGAAGAACAGGAGACAGCTGGCTGGCGCAGGTCCTCAGAACCCTGGGGCTAATACCATCCGGGCCAGCAGCCTTGCCTTGTGGAGTTTTTCCAGCTGTCTTTGGACCTGTCCTGTACTCACAGTGAAGCGGGGGGCTTAATGTCTCAGTGGAGGGGAGGCACATCAAAGGAGAGGTGGTAAAGTCCAGGGTGCCCGGCAGGGGGGATAGAGGTGGGGGGGGTCAAAAGCACAGGGAGCAGAGGGGAGATACAGAAGCCAGGCTGAGAGGTGGAGGTGAGGTGTGAAGTGGAGGAGACAGCAGCAGCGGGCGGAGAGCTAAACCTATTGAAAGGGCGGGACTAAGACACGAGGGTAGGAGTCGAGGAGGGGAATTAGAGAAATGAGAAAGGGCCCAAGTCTCCGTAAAACACATGACGCTGCACTCACGGTATTCCCACTGCGTCTTCGTCAGCACGCCGAGCTCGTCCATCTTATTCCCCAAAGCCCTCACATTCCCCATTATAATAGCCGGAACAGAAGGTTTGTATCTTCTCTTCTTCTTCGTCTTCCGCTTGGTTCCAGCCCTGCAGCCCCGCTTTAGCCTCCGAAGCTCCTCCAGGATGTCATGCCTGGCTCCGGGCAGCAGCACGGGTCTACACAGCACAATCAGCTGCTCACAGGAGTAATGAGTTAGTTACAAAACAAAAATAAATGTCCAAAGAAAAAAGTACAACTAAGAGAATAAAAGTAGTAAAAAGATGTTTTAAATCTATAAAGACCCAGGGAGCTGCAGCAACAGGCAGCCACATGCACAGCACCATTAGCTTTAGCTCTAGTATTCTCTTGGTCTACTTCATGTCTGGTTTAATCTGTATTCATTGAATCTGCTTTCTTCCACAGAAACGCTTTGCTGAAGCCAAAGAAGTGTATCTGGAAGGAATAGAGAAGTGTCCAGACAGCTCTGACCTGCATAATAACTACGGAGTGTTTCTGGTGGATACTGGTGAGTTAAACCCAATGGCTCTCTGGCTCCAGGGCTGGTTGGTATGGCTTCCATTCAAAACATTCCCAGTTTAAACCTTGACAAGAAAAAAAGAAAAAAGCTCATACTGTACTGGAGGAGATCATCACAAGGGGTTTCATCTGATGTAATCCTAACATAGTTCCTTAAGAATGTAGGCAGCCATTGACTTCAGTTACTTTCAGCACTCAAACTCAACCTGTAGCCAGAGAACTAAAACTTTAAAGCCTTAAAAGTACCTAAAGCAATCAGACAACAATCGGTTGGCTAACTCAATATTAAAGGTATAATGAGTATAAATAATGTATAGATTAGTACAAAAATAGCTCAGGATATACCAAGGGAGGAGCTCAGGATATACCAAGGGCTCAGAGAGGAGCTAGAGAAGAGGTGGAAGGCGAAGCAGCAGTGGTTCCATGATGATCGGAGCACTCTGCAGTAACCCTCAAACTGGGATTTTGCTTGACAGTGGCTCCAGCAAATCCCAGGAACAACATCCGAGAGCAGTTTAGGAACAGCGAAGTTTGTCATGTTCAGCTCAGTGAAATCGTTTTTAGCACTGTATGGATCAATTGAGAAATTACTAAATGTTTTAGACATGATGATGAAACAATAGTGTTATTATCACTGTATCTTTTTAAATAGTTCTTTCTTCTCAGAAACTCATACACACACATTTTTCCAAAAAAATGACTAATTCAGTATTTTCCAAAAAGTTAAAATGTTTCTCTGCATTGATTTACTTCCACTACGTTTCAGGCCAAAGCACTGTCTTTAAGAGATCGATCAACTTGGTCAGTACATGAATCCGAGATATTGTAGCGAACGGATAAATGGAGGCAGAAGACGTTATCTTTTGCAATGCACACATTCAGCGACGCACAGGATCTCTCCCCAGCTGGGCACCGGTTCACTCACAGCACCAGACTAGCTTAGACCTGAGCCTCCTGTACACAAAGAGGAGGACGCGCCCCTATTGCTGCTCTGCCAATCATGAGGCTGCATGTTACTACGGCTCTGTCAGGTTTCCCGTGATTGGCCGAGAGCCTATTCAGTCCCCAGCTGACGAAGACCCGAGACACAAATACAAATAAATGTATTACAAGGACGCACGCTGCACTTTTATTGAAAAGAAGATACCTTGTATATTTTGAGAAAAAAATGTATCGTCTTGTAACTTCACCAAAATACTCCACAAACACAAGTTGGATACCCTCCACTTCAGAAACCACCGGTGGAAATGCAAGTGGCGAGGTGGCACCTGCTGCTGATGAAGCAGCTGATAATGGTAAGCTCAAACGAGAGAAGACCTGAAAATATACAGATAATTATATTATTATTTTAGTTTTCTAAGCGGCTTCCTGAATGCTTCAAAGTGATTGATGTTTTTTTCAGAGAAAATTACATTCCATAGGCAAAATGTATTGCGCTGTCCACCGACGGTGCAAAAAGGGGACTAATTGCGCTTGTAAGGGATGTGGCTTTGCAAGTGATTTGACGCACTGCATGCTACACAGGGAGTCACGCTGAATTGTCAGATGTCATGGACTCGGTCGTGAAAGTTGTCAATATAGTCAAGAAGAGTGCTTTGCAAACACGTCTTTTCTCTTATCTCTGTGCTGGAGAAGAACACGCTGTGCCACCTGACCATTCTGAGGTTCGATGCGTTTCACATGGAACAGTGTTGTCATGTGTTGGAAGTTTTTACTTCTCCAAAAGCACACAGAGCTGGCTCCACTTTTCAATGACAATGTCTGGGCCACCAAACTTGCATATCTTGTTGACATTTTCACTGAGCTGAACAAACTTATAGAGCAACTTGCAGGTTAGAGACCCCAGTGAATAAATGTGTAGGAAAATGATGTATACACTAGATTTTCAAAAAAATATACAGAAATATACACTACAGACTACAGTGACATCTGGCGTCGTTTTTGTAAGACATTTTTATTTCCGCATAAAAAAAGCCTCCCGCGTGTGACGTTACATCAGGGAGAGCGGCCGGTCTAACGTATTAATAAACATCACAATGCTAGTTTTGACACAGAAGAGGTTGAAAATGTATATTCGTATGCATATGACGGACCACAACCATATAATTATGAGCCTGCTAGGCATCCAAGAGACCAGGAGCAGCCAAGGATTAGAAGAGATAACGGCCATCGGAGAGAAATGGAGCTGTGGTGTGAGGAGAACCAGTGGAGAACAGGGCAGCTGTCTTGGTGAGTGACCGGCGTTAGCTACAGTTAATGTTAGCTAACGTCGGTCACATCACAACATTGTAAAGTTAGCTATCATATATCAGGCTATAACTAAAGTAGTATTGATAATATAGTAACGTTACTGGCAGGACTGTTGATACTGATCCATAACAGAAACTAATGCGCAAGTATCAGCCGTATCTCGCGTTACCTAATGCAACTCCACACTACGTCTTACGGTGCTGTGTACCGGAGGGGAGAGAGAGAGGAGCGAAGGGGGGGAGAGGTGCAATACGGTTTCCTGATAAACGTTTTGTTTGATAGGTGCTTGTGTGGGAAATGCCAGCCCATGGCCTCAGCTATGGAGAGTAGGCTATGTGCTGCAGGGAGGTGGATGCACCTCGCACAACACACCCAGGAACGAAAGCTAGCCCTGGTCCTTTTCCTGTTAGGGAAACTGTGGACTCGATGTCCTGACAGGCTGGAGTTTGTGCAACCTGCACAAACTCCAGCTCACCATGATTAAAAAATGGTGAAATGCAATGTAAAATTACCGAAAAAATACCAGCTCACTAAATCACAACCGCTCAAACCAACTACCAACTACTACCGTGAATTGGGCAGAGAAGGGGTCCGAGAAAGTTGCTCCCCTATGTGTGACGTTAAAAAAAAAGTTTTTAGTAGCAGAGCTCAAAACAGCTACTTCCCCCTCTGAATTCCTGCCCTTATGTCTCGTAAAACATATCAAATCCTGCATTAACTTTTTTAATTGTAATTTTCAAGCAAGGTTAAGCATAAAAAAAAACCTGCAAGTTGCTCTTTAACATCCTATGCAAGGTCATAATACACATGCCATTCAGCTGTATGACAGAATGGAAGTCTTTCTCAAAAAAATCTGAAGATGGATGGAGCGCGTTGGGGAGGGAATATTTTCCATGTTTCCATCAGTGAGTGAGCTGGGCGTTTCTGCTTTCCTCTCGCCCCCCGATACAGGTGCAATTATTGCGCACTTGGAGGCACTCGAGGGATAATTTAGGAAATACTTTTCTGAAGCTGTCTCCTGGCGCATGGACAAGACATGGATCCAGTTTCCATTCAGAGACACACAGCAGACGGCACACGCCAGACAGTGACAGAGGAGGATCAGCTCATCGAGCTATCCACTGACAGTACGTTCAGAAACATGTATGAAACTAAACCACTCACCAAGTTCTGGATCTCTTGCCAGAAAGACTTTCCACCATTGGCAGCTAAAGCTATGATGAGCCTTTTGCCCTTTGCAAAAACATATCTTTGCAAAAGTGGAATTTCCTCACTCACCTACCTGAACAACAAATACAGGTCCAGACCCTCTACATGACCCTCTGCCTCACAACCTCCATCCGTCCAAGGTTAGATAAGTTGTGTGCTACTCATCAGGGTAATGTGGGAGTATGTGTGCCATCCACAGATGACTTGGTGATTCACTGTCCCTTCTACATGTATGTTTAAAATAAAAACATGACCCTTGCATATGTTTAAAACAAAAACATGAATGTATGAACCTGTGTATTAATTGAATAGCTTAGTATTGAATGCACAATAATAGTAGCTATGTTTATACATGGCACTAGGCCCAGTTTAATATAAACACAATGTTATACAATAGATATAGTAGGGGGTCCCTGTTCCATCTCTCCATCAGTTTGGGGGTCCTTGGCCTGAAAAACGTTGAAGACCCCTGCCATAGCATATTATAAAGGGACATTTTTACCAGATGTATGACTGGTTATCCTTTTCTTAGTAGTATTGTAAGCATTTATACATAATACTGTTTTTTCCTGTTTTTCAACTCTGTTGATTGTAAATAGGCTGCAGCATCTATTCAATTTGAATAATCTAGGCACACACATGTAATAGATAATCCTTACTCCTGATTTAAATCTCTTCTTCTTTCCCTCCTGTCTTTTTTTATTTATTTCCTTCTTAATTCCTGCAATATTTCTCTTCCACTTGTTCATGTATTTACTCCCACTTCCTTTCCTTCCTTTTCCTCTCATGTTCCCAGGAGAGGGGGAGCTGGCAGCCGCTCACTACCAGCAGGCTGTCAGACTCAAACCAGCGCACTATGTTGCCATGGTGAACCTGGGCCGCCTACTGCGATCATCCAATGAGAACACAGAAGCGGAGTCCTGGTACAAGAGGTGAGTGAGGTATTATCATACTGCTTTTCAGGAGCAAAATCCTGATCAGCTGCAAGACTCCTGCTGTTTAGCTAACCGTGGTTCCAGAGAAAACAGTTATAACACTTGTTTTATTTTTTAGGTTTGAATTCATGTCAATTCAAATTAAAATGTCTATGTAAAATAATTGTCTCTGCCTCTGTGGACTTTGTTTGAATTATTAAAACATGGATATCTCTGGATCTCAAGGATGTAAAATTGTATGATTATATTGTATATAAACATCACCATGAGAAAACTGGTCTTTCTTTTGGCATTCTTTTTTATCGGCAAAGATTCAAGGGCTTTTTGATTGAAGAAGCAACAGGGTTATTGAAATTAAAGTCTTAAGCATTTACCTTGGTAACTAAAATTAGTATACACATTTAGATGTGTTATCTTTTATATGGCACATAAAAAGAAAAAGACAATGGTGACCTTCCTGCAGGGCGCTGCAGGTGACGAGGAAGGTGGACATCCTGACTCCGCTCGGAGCGCTGTACTACAACACGGGCCGCTACAACGAGGCCCTGCAGGTGTACAGCGAGGCCGCCGCCCTGCAGCCCCACAGCACCGACATCTGGCTGGCTTTGGTAAACACACACACACACAAGGAATCATGGAAACTGTTGGCCCAAAAAAACTGATTGTACACACACACACAATTGACAAGCTCTTTGTGTACCAGGCTCAGGTTTTAGCTATGGCTGGTCGCAGCAAAGAGGCAGAGAAGATGACGCTGGACATCATATCCAGAGATAGCGGCTGCATTGAGTGTTACCGCCTCCTGTCTGCAATCTACAGCAAGCGTGGGAACTACACACAGGTGAGAGTGTGACTCTAATTGTGTGTCTCACATTTTAGAGGTAAGGTAACACACAGTCGTGATAAACTCAGCAGGATATGTTACCGTGGAAACTCATAACCTCAGCTGTACAGCTTGTGGGGGAAACTTCTGAAGCAATTGGAATCAGGACTCAGAGAGACACGAGGAGAGCTGGAGCTTTGATGGTAAACACTGATGGTTTATTTGGAGCTTCGGCCAGAGAATTCACAAGACTTATCACGGGCCACGAGTTGACCACACGGTTGAGATGCCACAATCAATTCTGAAGAACTCTACCCCAGACCCGTGTATTTAGCTAGTTCAGAGAGAATAATCAACATTGTACATAACAAGATAGAATCATAACACCTCTATCAGCTGACGCCAACAGGCAGGAACAGGGAGACAGAACACTGAGAGCACAGCAGCCAAGGTTGCAGGCAGGGGCGGACTGGCCATCGGGACGTTCGGGACGAATCCCGATGGGCCGGTACTGAAGTGGGCCGGTCGGACGATGTGGGCCGGTCGGATAAGTCACTAGCACCCCCCCGTCGACAATTTCCTCGCGGTATTTACTTGCGGCACCGAGGTGGGCCGCTCGGATAACTCACTAGCACCCCCCACCCCCCCGTTGATCATTTACCGAAGTGGGCCGGTCGAGAGTCCCGGGCTGATTTGTAGTCCCAGTCCGCCCCTGGTTGCAGGTGCGTGTGCTCAGTCAGGACAGTATGAACTGATCAACTGGGTCAAAGTTATGGGCCTTTGGAAATATTTCCCCAACAGTTCCTCTCTTTTTATCAATTTTGATAAACAAAACCTTAGTCTAATAATAATTTGTTCAATACTTAAATCTATGGGAATCTTTAGATTTGAGTGTGGACTTACACAACATCAATTATATCAATAACAATCACATTAAGAACAACATAATAAGATTGAAACATTCAATCACAATGATTGAGACAGCCAATCATAATAGAAAAATCATCTCTCGTCAGTGTTTGGAGCATCTTTTGTCAAAAGCATAATAATGAACACATATAAAATCACAGATACATAATAGCAAAAACATTTATTTGAAAACTAATATGTTTTAACATTTAACCATTAGTTAATCTCCTTTATCAAACTATAACATCAAAACCAGCTTGCAGCTTAAAGATTTACTTTAAGGCAAACACTAGTCAAAGCATTTCAAAATTAGGATCATAAGAGATCCAGCTAAGGTATAAGAAATTCACACTGGTGATCTAATCAATCTGTAATCTGCAAAATTGCAACCTGAATTGTCTTCTGTACTGTGTTGTAAATTGAAGATGTTGCAATAAAAAATGTATGATTAAAAAAAAAAGAATATGTGGTGATTGTCCTGCTATACAAAATGTGTAAGTACACTTTGTTTTTATCTGTAGGTCAAACAACATGGAGTTTGCTAAAGTCACACACAAATTATTAAAACACAAATCAAATGATTTAATTATGATCATACTGTCTCTCATACTCATCTCAGTATGGCTGTGATTTTTGTTCTCAGTGAATCCAAACAATTAGCAAGATGAGATACTGTAGGCACTTTTTTCTGTGTTTGTTCATTGCCTGTATCTTTATTACTGTTTGTGTCCATGCCAGGCGCTGGCTGCTCTGGACAGAGCCCTGCAGCAGAGTCCCAGTGATGTGACCGTGAGAGCAGAGCTGTATTTCTCCAAAGGGAACCAGTTCAGAGAGATGAACCAGCTGGGCCGAGCCTTCCAGGTACTGTTCTGTCTTCTTCCTCCTCTCTCTCTCTGCTTCTCTTCAGTCAGGTTTCCATCCAAATACCCCTCAAATTTACTTCCAAAAAATTGGCAAAGACGATGCCGTGTTCATTAACCACCATTATGTGAATTTGAGGGGCTGGTGCTGCTAATTCTCCAGTCTCCTGCCATCAAATGATTGCAGAAGTGGGTGCACATTTGTTGAAAGACAATATAGAAACAGGTTTGAATAATGTATTCATTTAAGGAACAAAGCAGTCACCTCATTGCAGCTGATGCAAGATGCTTTATTTAAATATCAAAGCTGCCTTAAACTCACGAATCAAAGTTGAGTTGATCAATCATACAGTTTGGCAAACCTTAAGCTGGGAATATCCCTCTTTCAGTCGATCGATCTACCACTTTGATCCATTTCATTTCATTTCAAACCTTTATTTATCCAGGTTGTATCCCATTGAGATCATTGATCTCTTTTTCAAGGGAGACCTGCTCAAGTAGGTTCCACATGAAACATTAAAAACATAAACAGAGCAACAAAAGGACATCATACAGTAGCATTACAGGGATTACAATTTACAATAACTATCCACATGCACAGGTACCAACAGCTTCCGATTGAGTAGCATCCAACCGAGCTTTAAAAACATTGAGTGGCACCAGATTGCTCAGTTTCCATTTTAATTGCAGACTATTCCAGGACAGTGGAGCTGCGCATCTAAATGCTATCTTCCCTAAGACAGTCCTAGCAGTTGGCACATTTAATAAAACCACAGCATGCGATCTCAGGCAGTAGCCACTTACAATTCGCCGTGAGATCAGGGAGCAGATGTAGGATGGAAGTTTCCCTAACATGGCTTTATATATAAGAATGTACCAGTGACTGAGCCTCCGTGCAGTTAGTGAAGGCAGACCAGCCCTTGCATACAGGGTACAGTGATGGGTTAATACTTTACAGTTTGTCACAAATCTCAGTGCACTGTGATACGCAGCATCTAACTTGACCAGGCAATTGGCAGGTGCATTCATATAAATCAGATCACCATAGTCCAGCACAGGTAAAAAGGTCACAGTGACTAGCCTTTTTCTGGCCTCGAGCGAGAAACAGGACTTGTTCCTGTAGAAGAAACCTAGTCTAACCCTCAGTTTTTTAAGCAGGTTATTGACATGACGTTTAAAAGTGAGACAATCATCAAGCCAGATACCAAGGTATTTGTAACAGGCAACCACTTCAAGTTTTATTCCTTGCGTAGTTAAAATATCTAAAACAGGCTCTGGTGTCTTTTTGGCTTTTGAAAAGAGCATTACCTTGGTTTTATCCACATTTAAAAGAAGCTTTAGTTCAGAGAGCTGAGTCTGAATAATGTTAAAAGCAGCTTGCAATTCAACAACAGCCTCCTTAATGGAGGGACATGCACAGTACATAACGGTATCGTCCGCATAAAAATGTAAGGTTGCTCCATCGACATTTTCACCTAAACTATTGATGTAGATGGAGAATAAAAGTGGACCTAAAACAGAACCTTGAGGAACACCATTAGTAATGTTTAACCACTCTGAAGACAGCCCATCAAAATGAACACATTGGGACCTTTCAGAGAGGTAGTTCACAAACCACCCCACTGCATGACTGGATATGCCAATACTGAGTAGCCTCTGCTTTAGGATTTGATGATCGACGGTATCGAACGCTTTGGAAAGGTCAATAAATAGAGCTGCACAGCTCTGCTTATTATCTAAAATACTCGCCACATCATTCACCACTTTCATTGTGGCAGTGATGGTGCTATGTTGCTTTCTGAAGCCTGACTGATGTTTAGACAGGATGTCATTTGTACATAAAAACACCTTTACCTGTTCACTCACTAGGCGTTCAAGAACCTTAGCCAGAACTGACAATTTAGAGATGGGCCTATAATTATTTAATAAAGTGGCCTCCCCTCCTTTCAGCAAAGGCAGGACATACGCTGACTTCCACAATTTTGGAATTGTGTTTGTGCTGAGGGAGAGGTTAAAAAGAGAAGTAAGAGGTGGAGCAATAAACTCTGCAGCTATCTTTAAAAAGAAAGGTTCCACGTTGTCCGGGCCGGCCGGTTTCTTAGGATCTAACTTGGTTAAAGCTTCACGAACAACATCAACAGTAAAAGGAGTAAAACTGAAAGGGTTTTCCAGACCACATTGTTCAGAGTCACCGACTGTGGTGTTCACAGTAGCAGAGTTAGTCACAGAATCAAACAGAGAGCCACAGGACACAAAATGCTCATTAAAACAATTTAACATAGTGGCCCTGTCCGATATAGTGCCAGATGCTGTGGTAATGCACGGAGGTAGCTCATTACGGATCTCACCGGTGGATAGCGATTTTATGGCTTTCCAACATTTTCCAGGATTATTCAGGTTCTTTGTGGTAACTGACAGATAATACTTAGACTTAGCACTTTTTATTTGTGATGTGAAGCTATTTCTTAGCTGCCTAAAACGCAGCCATTCAACCTCTGAGCCTGATTTCCTAGCCTTTGCCCAGGCCTTGTTTCTCTCATGTAGGAGACTAGATAAGTCAGCAGAAAACCAAGGATTGTCTCGTCCCTTCACTCTAAATTTACGCAGGGGTGCATGTCTATCTATAATTTCCATAAAACCAAGATAAAAATAAGACCATGCAGTTTCAACATCAGCACACAGATCGATTTTACCCCAATCAAAATCAAACAGATCATGAACAAAACCCTGCTCCACAAAATGTTTTTTGTCTCTCTTCATGATAATGCGAGGTTTAACCTTTTGGACTTTTGTGTCCCTAATTGTGGCTACAACACAGTGATCACTCAGACTGCATCCAGAATAAGATATCTCCACCAATTTAACATGGACTGTGTTCACTCATCCAAGTCGTGTACATTGAAACCAGCTGATACAAGGGTGAGATGGGGCCCTTGCAGTAACCTGTTAAACCGGGGGCAAAACACAACAATATTCACAAAACTGTGTCTCAGGGCTTGTGTCATACCCACTTAACGGGAAGAAACTCAGTTAACTGACGATATGAACAATTTTTACTGAAACAAAACACAACTCTAACGCCAAGCGTCTTTACGGAGCCAAAACGGCAAATACGTCTTACCTTTGCTGTTTTCAGCCATTCTTCTTCGTGGCTCTCCTGCTCCGATATCACTCTTCTGCTGAAAACACCAATCATAAAAGAAGAGGGGTGTAACCAATTAGATTTGGTTTTACTGGGACACGGTACGCCCACTTCCTGTCCAAAATAAAATGTCTCCGCGAGTGAGCAGTACAAAGGGTGTTTCAATGTCGAGGACGCTTCCTTGGTAGGACATGTCCCTCCGAGTCAGGTCCTTCAGAAGCGAGGCAAGAATCCTTCCTAGCCTCGGAAAACGAAGAATGGTGGAACAGGCTAACAGGTGTGCAGGTGTGCGTCATATGCGAGGCCCCGCCTTAAATGGAGCGCGATTTCCACCAAAGATTTGGAAATTGGTCCGTGCGCAAAGCATTGTGGGGATTTTAAGACCGCGGAGGATACACATGTGCAGCCTCGAAATTTCCCGCAACGAAGGACGCCGGCCTCGGTAGAATTCCAAGCATCCTGGACATAGGAACAGTCCTTCGGCGGGACTCGATGACGTAGCATCCTTGAAATAGTGGCTCTGGAGCAGCCTTCCTCGACATTGAGAAACACCCAAAGTTTTGCGAGCAGAAAAGCTCCCGGAGAGCGCAGGAAATGCTCGCGAGAGCGCAGGAGACCTCGCACGAGAGCAGTAGAGCAAAGAGAGCTCCTGTAGATACTGTGCATGCTCAAGGCATGTTTATCCCCTTGCAGGCTTCAATATTGCTCTCGCGCGGGTGCCGTTTTAGTGCTCGCGAAAATAATATGCGTCCGCGGCTGCTTGACTTGTGCTTGACTTGTGCTCGCGTGGATTTCATATGCCCTCGTGATTTATGACAGAGATTTGCCGCCATAGAGGATCCCCCCAGACCCCTACAGGGGTTTGGTTTATCTTTTTTCTCAACTGGTGAGTTTGCAGGTATGTGTGTCAGTGTGGAAAACAGGCGTGTGCAAGGCTCCTAAAAAAGAGGAGATTATTGGCTTCCTCAATCATTTCCCCCCCACCACATATAATGGTTCCTGTGACAATAGTCTGTATTCTGACTGTAAAGGTGTTGCTAACAAATAGGGAAACTACTGTGTACAACATGTAAAGCCAATGGGAAACAGTAATAAGTAAAAATCATTTTCTTATATGTAGCCTATTCAATGCATAATATTCATTATTTAAAGGGAAACTGCAAATGTATATTCTTCAGAAACAAGTAGCCCTCCAGAGAGTTCGTTATCATTCAGGAAGCTCTCAGTCTGGTTGTCAGGTTGGTGACCCCTGCACCACAATGATAGTGACAGTGAAGACAACAGCCCCTGATTTGGTAGCAGCAGTCTGTGTTCACATGGTGCGTTCAGGTACAGAGTTGACTTTAGGTCAGATACAGACAACTCCTTAAACACAAAGACGCCCCACTATGTAGAGTTCACAGGTATATATTTCAAATCAGTCCAAAAGTGACAAAGAGTCAACAGAGTTGAATTTATAAAATGCAATAATTTTAAGTTTGTATAACAGATGTGTATGGAAGTAAGGAAGTGGAATCCAGTGAACTAAAAACATTTGTCATTTGACACTGAACTGTGTGTTTTTTGTTGTCTCCCACTAGAGCTACAAGCTAGCTGTGGAACTGAAACCGGATCAGTCCCAGGCCTGGATGAACATGGGGGGGATTCAGCACATCAAGGTAGCAAGTCAAAACACATTCATGCTGTTTCATACTGTGGTAGATGAAGAACATTTCAAAAAATGTCTCGGCTGACAAGATGAAGGTTATTCATAATCTCTGTATGTAACGCAGCAAGGATCGTCCAGTGTATCCTAAGATAAATATAAAAGAATATAATGGAAGCATTGAAGCTTCTTTCCTTTAATCTAGAGAATTTGAACAGATCTTATCATGGCTGCCATTTAAATACTTTTTTGCTCCTAAATCCATAAATACTAAAGGAAAAAAGGTTTTGTAGGGGGGGGAATATGGCATCAGATGTGTATCTATTTATATATTGCTTTATCTAAATATTATTTATAAACATTCCTAGTATTTTTGTGATTTGGATCGATCAGGGGCTAATAAGCCATAATAACAGTAACAGTTTTAAAAACGTAAAAAATATGTGCTTTAGTACTAAGTTCGGTAACACTTTATATTAAGGTACACAAATTAACCATCAACTAGTTGTTAATTAACATGCATATTAGCAGTATATGGGCTCCTTATTAGTCATTATAAAACACTTATTAATGCCTTATTCTACAAGTAATAAGCCATTAGTTACATTACATGTTACTTGTTAGACGCTTTTATCCAAAGCGACTTACATACTCAATACTGTGGGCAATCCCCAGTAGTTGAGAGTTTTTCTTCAATAACCCTCTAATTAGTGCTTATTGATTGCAAGTAAGGAAGTTGTTGTACATGAGTTTTGGTCTTAATATGCTCTGCTCAATATGGGCCTAATAAGGCAGCAGTACCACAAGAATAGTAATTCTCCCATAATAACACTTAACAGATATGATCTATTCTTATGTAACAATACATGAAACTATAAGTGTTAATTAAGTCTAAATAACTCAAAATTAGATATTTATATCTAAGAATATGTTTTGGGGTATTGACAGTTCAGCTACCAATAGCAAGGTGATATTGACCTGTATGTTTCATATTTGCACATTTATATTTTTGTAAAATTTGTACTGAAGGTTAGACAGGAAACCGGGTACAGGAAGTAAGAGAAAGTGAACTGAATAGCATGGCAGTAGACTGCTACTAATTTTCCCTATGCAACCTGAAGAGTAAAAGGGTAAATTCCGTCAGAAAGCAATGACTGTAAATCATTGTAAACTGTAAGGATTAGTAACATGTATTGTGTTTATGTGATGACATTTGGAGATGTTAAAACACAATGAGAAAATGCGTTAGCATTCGCGCTAGCATTTGCGTTATGCTGCGTTCACACCGGACGCGATGCGATGTTTGGGGGCGGCGCGATTACATGTAAAGTCAATGCAGAGACGCGGACAGACGCGAATTCGCTCCGACGGTGCGCATGAAGCGGTGGACGCGGCGCGAATCACGCGATTGAGGCGATTGAACGGTGCCGCGTTAAACGCGAGAGTTCAATTTTTTCAACTCGAGCGTCAAATTCACGTGACGCGTTCTCGCTGAAGCCAATCAGCGGTGAGGATCTCAGCCGCCGTCACTGACGTTCAACCACACAACATCAGCCGTTAGCTGTTAGTAGTTAGCACACAGAGCTCACAGCTCCTCATATCTGTTCAGAAACTGGACAAAAGTTAAACAAGTACAAACCACAGACTGTCTGTGCCATGGCGAATACAGTCGCTGGTTTATTTATGTCTGTAGGCCGTTGTTATGAGTGTGGAATGAGCATATACAACGTTAGCTTAACCTGGTCGACCTGATCTTCATTCAGAAAACAAGCATTTTAAAAGGTTTTTCTCCTGCCGTCTGTCTGCAGACTTGTCAAAGCATTAATTCATGGTTTTTACTAACCGGTATCAGTATGTTGTTACTTCTGCATCATTTAGAAACGTGTATTACAATTAAATCACGGTAAAATATGTTCATTTTGTTGTAGTTGTAGCTCCCGAGCCAGCGCATCTTGTTTGAATGATGCGAGTAAAAACAGCTGGCAGCCGCGGTGAAACTCCAGCGTTTAAAGCGATGCGATAGGAGCGATTAGAGCGAAGCAAATATTCGCATCGCGTCCGGTGTGAACGCAGCATTAGCATTCGCGCTAGCATTCGCGCTAGCGTTAGCATACATGGTAGCGTTAGCACACATGCTAGCGTTAGCCATACTAGCCTGTATACATGCTTATTGCACAGCTAGCATTAGCTATATTTACCTTGTTTACACTTAGCGGTCCTATGTGACAATCCAACCCAGTCTCACGGCATTTCGTGTTATTAGTCATGAAATTAATTTAATCTATTGATTCGTGTTCACCAACACGATTTTCACCTTTTTTTCGTGTCACACAGAACGATTTTAAAAGCAATGTATTTCTATTGGTAGTATGTTTCGTGCCTGCACCACGTCTTTTTGTCCGGTCGGGTCTTGGAATACCAGAAGCTGTGTGGTTCATAAAAACATGTTCTTACTCAATATCTTACCCTAAGCCTAACCCTATCCCTTTTATTTTAAATTGTATAATGTCTGAGTTTTTTTGCCGTCAGTGAGGAAAAGAAATGGCTCAGAGCCTCAGAATACTGACATCTGTATTTTATGTCATCTTTTTTTCCTTCTAATTTGTTATTATTTGGTGCAGGCACGAAACATACTACCAATATAAATACATTGCTTCTAAAATCGTTCTGTGTCAGAATACTTAAATCTGTATTTTTTTAAATGTCTTTTTCCTTCTAATTTGTTATTATTGACATTGCTTTTAAAATCGTTCTGTGTGACACGAAAAAAATGGCGAAATCGTGTTGGTGAACACGAATCAATAGATTAATTTCGTGACTATAACACGAAATGCCGTGAGACTGGGTTGGACAATCTGTATGTTACACTTGCATGTATGAGATCATTAGGTGCCTTGTAACTTATTTTGTTATAGTTTCACTCCGTTTGAATGTCAGTAGACTGCAAATAAGTCAATAAAGGAGCATGGCTGCTCATTCCCTGGCTCTCAAAAGAGTTTAATCTATGTTCAGACTGAGACAGTACAACACATAGAGAGAACAGTACACCTATTGTGTAAGTACATACAAGCAGGTCACACAGTATGATCACAAATACATAACATCTCTTAAAAATCAGTTTTAATAAAAAGTACAGGCTGCATATGTGTTCTCAGCCTTGGAGAAACTTGACATGTTTTGGGATGTGTCTGAACCTCTCTTTAGTGGTTCATTAATAAAACAGATATTTCAACGTGTGCCTACTTTGTTCATGTACTGTTGAGGTTCATTTCAGTAGTTGTGTTCTATAATGTATTTACAAAGTGTGAAGAGGAGGCAACTTCAGAATAGGGAAGCTGTTCAGGTCAATTAGAGTCAAACTACTAGCTTATTGGTTATGAACAAGACTTCACTTTAAAATAGGGAACATGTTCTTAGATAGAAATACCTAATCAGAGTCAAACTACTAGCTTATTGGTTATGAACAAGACTTCACTTTAAAATAGGGAACATGTTCTTAGATAGAAATACCTAATTTTGAGTTTAGACACAATTAACACTTATAGTTTGATGTCTTGTTACATAAGAACATATCATATTTGTTAAGTGTTATTATGGGAGAATTACTATTCTTGTGGTACTACTGCCTTATTAGGCCCATATTGAGCAGAGCATATTAAGACCAAAACTCATGTACAACAACTTCCTTACTTACAATCAATAAGCACTAATTAGAGGGTTATTGAGGAAAAACTCTCAACTAATTGCCGATTACTTGTAGAATATGGTCATGTAGAATAAGGCATTAATAAGTGTTTTATAAGGACTAATAAAGAGCCAATATACTGCTAATATGCATGTTAATTAACAACTAGTTGATGGTTAATTTGTGTACCTTAATATAAAATGTTACCCTAAGTTCTATCATTTAACATTCATAAAGGGAACTGTCAGGCAACAAATGGACTTTAAAACAGTCGCAATGTGATCTCAACTTCTGACTGTAGTCAGCACTGAGGCTGAAAATGTTGATGTATGAGAGAGTTGGTTTTGGACCCAAAACATATTATTGAACACACAGTTCCTGTTTGTAATTGGTTTATTGTTTTGTGTTTGCAGGGAGACTATGCAGCTGCCAGGATGTATTACCAGCGGGCCCTGCTGCTCAGCCCTGGCTCCAAACTCCTGAAGGAAAACCTGGCCAAGCTGGACCGGCTTGAGAGGAAAGTGACAGGGGGGTCGTAGATTACCACAGGCCCCCACATGCAACCATCCTGGGCTCAAATCAGCGGAGAGGGCCCAGCAAGCACTCTGGAGCCCAGGCACCAGCCATAGGCTGGTTAAAAAGACAACAGGCCTGAAAGCAGAGGAGCAGAGGACTCTTCAGGTGCTGCAGAGAGAGACAGAGGAGCCACAGTCAGGAAGCTTTCCTCGTGGGAGCAGAGGGGAACCACTGGCTGAAGACCACTGGAGCTCCATGTGATCTGCATTTGAGCTTTACTTCAAAAGCCACATCTGCTTTAAACATTTGTGTTTGATTGATTTATTATTTAGCTTTATGCAAAGGGATTTCCTTATGGAACCTAATCACAGATTGAATCTCAGTCTGTTAGAATGTTTTACGAAACTACATTAGTACAGTGAAAGTGAGGGAAAATGTTTTTATTATGAAGGTTATGAGCATGGGAACAAAAATAATTTCTCTCAAAGCTCCACTTTGTAGCTTTCAGAACTGTCAGTCAGTCAGTGTCAGGACATTCACATCGAACACCAACTATAAGTAGTACAAGTCACAAGCAGGGTTGGGAAAGCTTCCTGTATACTCTTCTTTATAAGTAGTTCACCAAAGATACAACTGAAAGCTCAGAAAATCTATTAAGTGGACCTTTGAGTTTAGTTTATTGTGCTGCACATGAAGAAAATGGGTTGACAAGATTAACTGTAAGCCCACTGTACTCTCTGAATTATATCAATGAGTACAAAGTAACTAAAAACAAAAGATGTTAAGATCTCAGATTATATGAAAAATGGAATAAGATTCATACCAGCTGCTTTCTTTTTAGACATGAACTGAACTAGGTTCAAATGACCTCTACTTCCAGAACAAGCTACAGGTTAGACCTGGTTAGGCATGTGTTGGTTAAGGTTAGGATAAGTCTCCAGGAAATGCATGCAAGTCAATGTAATGTCCCCTGAAGTGGTGTGTGTGTGTGTGTGTGTGTGTGTGTGTGTGTGTGTGTGTGTGTGTGTGTGTGTGTGTGTGTGTGTGTGTGTGTGTGTGTGTGTGTGTGTGTGTGTGTGTGTGTGTGTGTGTGTGTGTGTGTGTGTGTGTGTGTGTGTGTGTGTGTGTGTTCACGGTCACTCTGAACACTTCTGTTTGGTCGCTTTTTGTTGTTCTGTTGACAGTGGTTTTGATTGTAAATGGATTTTGTTGTTGAATGACTATAGGATGAAAATGAAGTGACAAGTGCAATGACTGAAAATAAAGTGAATGTTACTGAATACATTTACAAATGACTGAATTTTGTTATGCTCCACACACTCCACTAGACTCTACTTAGCAGGTTTTCCTAGTTTTCCCAGAACCCCCACCCTTCTCCCACAGGAGGTTAGATCAAACCTTGGAAGCCGACAGTAACTATTTCCACCTGTTTACAATCCCAGATGTTAACATGTTCGTTTGAATAATTGTTTTACAGGTCGAGAAAAATACAAGTCGTAAAAAAACACTTCATGAATGAATAGATACAATTACATTACATGTTACTTGTTAGACACTTTTATCCAAAGCGACTTACATACTCAATACTGTGGACAATCCCCACAGGAGCAATTTGGGGTGAAGTGTCTCAGGGACACAACAACATGCTGACTGCAGTGGAGTTTGAACCTGCTGGGCATTTAACATGCATTTAAACAGTCCTTCGGCGCCACTCGATGACGTAGTATACTTGAAATAGTGGCTCTGCAGCAGGTTTACTCGACATTGAGAAACGGCCAAGGTCCCATGGAGGTCCCCCCGGAAAGGGAGGGACTTCGCCTCTCTATTGGGTTCTATTCCTAACAGAATGAACCGACAAGGCACACAGGGGAAGACAAGACTAAATACAGAGAGGGGTAATCACAAGACAAGACACAGCTGGGGTAAGGGAGGCAGAAACACAAGGGCAACAGGTGAACACAATCAGACACACCAGGGAAACTAAGACAGGAAGGCAAACACAGGAAGAAGGAACAGAGAAGACACAAGGAGGAAAACATTTCAAAACAAAAGGTGGAAAATGAAAACATAAATACAAAACCGTAACAGAATTCTGGTCGGTTCATTCTGTTAGGGTGCGTGGAAAGGGTAGGACCCAAATGCAGACTACAATAAAAGGTAAAAAGGTCTATAAACAAAAAGCGAGCTTTATTTTAAAAGCTGAACAAAAACATGGCATGAAACACATAGGTAGCACAAAAACTGACCGTGACCAACATGGAGGGAGACAGGAAAAACCAACAATGAACCGACAAGGCACACAGGGGAAGACAAGACTAAATACAGAGAGGGGTAATCACAAGACAAGACACAGCTGGGGTAAGGGAGGCAGAAACACAAGGGCAACAGGTGAACACAATCAGACAATCAGACACACCAGGGAAACTAACGACAGGAAGGCAAACACAGGAAGAAGGAACAGAGAAGACACAAGGAGGAAAACATTTCAAAACAAAAGGTGGAAAATGAAAACAAATACAAAACCGTAACAGTATTCAAAAGTAAAAATTACATGTTTAATATCAATTATTTGCTGCATGTGGCCAATTGTTTTCATTGCATTTACAGACCCTTGTATCTCTCTGATACCACCCAATGAATGCACAGACTTGCTTGTAGAACCACGCTACACAAAGCAGATAGCAACACCTATAAAAACTTAAGCATAGACATTTAAAAAAAGGGGCTACTGTATCGACATTTTAAAATTATATTTAAAGAAAAACAGCAGGGCTCTATTTCAGCAGGGCTCTATTTCAGTATTAACTATAGAAAAAAAGACAGCAACAGCTGACATCAAATCTTTGCTGAGCCCAAGGATAATCATAAATAAATAATTTAGTGAAAATAAATATATTGCAATGCTCAGTACAGCAGCATCCAACCGTCTCTAATCATAAAAAAACATAATACAAATAAATGTATTGCAATGCTCAAAACAGCAGCATCCAACAGTCTCTAATCCTTGGATATTACATGCCACTGCATGCATGCACGGAGCAGCTGTAGCGCGGAGATCATCATATCATTCTGTCTTGTATTGCTTAACAAAAAATAACAAAAACAAAAAAACGGCTCGTTCGCGGGCGCGAGCCGGCTCCCGTCGTTCACAGTGGCGTTTTTATATGTACAAAAGTGGTGGGGCACAAAAAACTTAGATGTCTATATATAAGCTTCTGCAGTGACGTGCAGTGAGGTTCATGGCTGGTGAGGCACTGGCACTGACTCTTCAGGTTTACAAATATTATATTTTGACCTAAACCAAAATATAATATTATTTTCAAAAGCTTTTTTTGTCTGATGCTTCGATTGATTTTAAACAGACAGTTCAACAAAAGGATACCCAAAAAATGTAATTTTATCATTTAAATATTGAATTGTTCTCTCTTAGTAAGATGCATTTTCAATAAAATTGCGGTCTTACCTTGACTTGAAGATGAAGTCCATTTGCCTATCCTTCTGGACAAACATTTCTATAACTTTTTTGTAAAAGTCCTCCTTATCTTCTTGTAGTTTCAAAAGTCTATCATAAATCTAATCGATAGATTTATGATAAAAAAATTATAAAAGTAGGGTAGACATGTGGATGTTATCCGGCTGAACAAAACGTGCATTTATCTAACAGGTACGTTTCCCACAGATCTTATTTCGAGCTATTTTCTAAAATCCTATGGAGAAACCTCATTGCTTTTTTGTCGAGGGAAGCCACGCGCAGCTTACTTCCTGGTTTTAGGACGCGTCACTGCAGCTCTCTCGTCTCCTCTTCACACACCACACTTTTCGCGGCACACGTACTTACAGCCAATCAGCTCTGAATGATGTGAGATGACGTATGGTGGGGATGGCAGCTCAGTGCCCCTATGGTCATTATTTTTTTGCCACACACATTAAATAGGAAAATACTCTGAGCATGCGCAGTGTAGTTTTTACAGTCACCGTTCACTTCACAGCGAAAGGGAGGGGCATGATCAGGTTTTGTCCCACATGGCTCTAAACAGCTCAATAGGCACACACTGTGACTGTAGACACACTAATTAGAAGAACACAGACTAAAACAGCAATGTACAGACGAATCAGATGATTAAACATGATCTTAAAATATATTTTATATATTTTTTTATTTTTTTTTTGCATTTTTTGTAATCATTATTTGTAATACTTTCTGCTGACACTAGGTGGGGCTCCTGCCCCTAATGACCAGTCGCCACTGGTCGGCTCTTTGAGCCGGCTCGTTTGCGACCGACACATCACTAATTACTAACGCCTGGCTAACCGCGCTGATTCGAATGCAGGAGCTTTACTGTTTAGCCCTTATCTTTATACATCCATGGTTTATCCACAGTTGTAACTTGTAATTGTTGACAATTCAAATGTAGTCAGGTTTATTTATGGGTATTAGTTTAACACTAGAACCGCCAACATTCATTTTCCTGAAAGTGTGTTATGTAGCACCCATCTGTTGTTAAAACATTTCAATATGAAGTCAGATTGAAAAAATGGCCCAAGAAATTGCCATTTATATCCATTAGCGCCATCGGGTAATATTTACATTATAGAAAATGCAGTGATCTTCGCGCTATTGATCTCGCGCGAAAACATAAACATGACGTGTTGCTATAGCAACGCCTGTTGTTTACTGCAGTTCCTTATAGATAGAGAGATAGAGAGAGAGAGATAGATAGATAGATAGATAGTTATAGATAGATCGATAGATATAGTTATAGATAGATAGATAGAGACCCATAAGAAATTTTACCATAGTACCATGGTATATTTACCATGGTACATGTACCATGGTATTTTTGACAGATTGTACCATGGTACAAACCATGGTATATGTACCATGGTACAAACCATGGTATGTACCATGGTACATTACTATATGTGCTATGGAACAAATACCATGGTACTATAAAATATACCATGGTACTATCTGTCAAAAAATACTGTGGTACATGTACCGTGGTAAATATACCATGGTACTATGGTACGAGTAGTATGGTAACATTTCATATGGCTGTTGGAGGGCTTCATAACCCACTACCCCTGGCACCATAACAATTACCATGGTAAATACATATCTTCTTGTATTTGTGTCATACCTGTACTAAACTGTAGATACTGTAGAATGTAGAATGGTAGGCTATATCAAATAAAAATAATGGACTGAGGAAAATACAAATAATACATGGACTCAACATGTATTATAAAAAAATTATTTATACTACAAAACATACAATATTGCATGAAAAAACATAATGGCCTAACGTGGCCGAACAAATTGATTTTTTTTTAAAATGTTTTCTTTTTGAGGATCTTCGCCGAATTGGAGAGTTTCTGGCGTATGTAGCCCTTGATCTCCGCCTCTGTCTTCTCTTTGAAGACAGATTTAACTTCACCTAAAGAGAGAAAGAAATAAAGAAAAGGGGAATTAACAGATGAAGAGACAAATTACAAAAACAGACAGACAGACAGACAGACAGACAGACAGACAGTCAGGTAGACAGCAGGGATGCAAACTCATCAGGTATGAAAAAGGTGTCTCGAGACACTTTGCACATAACTCACGGTATCGGCATGAAGTATAAAAATATGAAAAGCTGAGAGTCCACAGATTCTATTGGTATAAATGTCATCCTTTATATATACAGTCTATGGTTTCATCACTGTGCGATCAAAACTCACTCTTAACCCTGTGTTTGGGTTTTGGGTGTTAGTATGATAAATAAAAGAACATTGTACCTAGAAAATCAATGCATTCTAATAGCGGGTAGGCCTACATTTTACCCGTTGGCGGTTTTAGGTATACAGCGACCCCTGGCGGTTATGAGTGTCGTGTACAAGAAAGAAGCAAAAATCCCACAAGTGGACAAAACGGCTTTTTTTTCACTGAAATAGCGTAAAAATCACAAAGTGCTATTAAGAGTCACATTCTTTACGAAAATC